GTCCAGAGGGGGTCCCGGTCCCGTTCCGGAGGTGCCTGGGCTCGCTGCGGCTGGCTCCTTCCTCGGCTCTCCGCGGGCACTTGCGAGAGGAGGAAGGGAGCAACAGGTGGGAGAGGGAACCTCGCTGATAGCCGGGCATCCATTCCAGCACCTCGGAAGTGCAGTAACGTTTTCTGGTATTCTCACGGACAGCGTCTTTGCTTTTGAAACGCTTTCCTGGAAGCATTTACGACTTCTGCGGCCCTGCTGTGCGCAACAACAGGAGTGAAAATGCTCGAGAGTCAGCTGTGTGCTGGCTTGGTTGGAGTGTGTTCAGGAGGGACTTCAGAGGGTCTATGTAGGCCACTAATGGGATATAGAGGAGGGTTGTTTTGTTACTTGTTACTCGGTGTTCTCTGCTTTGTGACACATTTAAATATTCACAGGCCTTTTTTGGGTACCTGTAGATGTTTGGGCTGTCTGCCTGAGTGTCAAAGTTGCCTCTGACTCCTGCCAGTGCAATATTCTGGCAGCAAGTTTCACAGGTAAGTTGATACTGCTTGAAGTCTTCTTCCAATCTGTTTGAAATAGTCTGATAGAAGTTGTCCTTCTGAGCTGCTGACGCAGTGTGTAAATAGATGTAGCTGGTGGATTGTTACCTCTCTTCTGTCACTCGCTGTGTGAATCTTTTTTAATCTTTTTCCCTTATTTCCTTTAGAATTTGCTCTAGATTACCTGTTTCATCGATGGCAACCTGTTCTGGTTTCCAGCCATTGTTCTTTCTGTCCTCTTTCTTTTTGTTTTGAGATGGGCATGAAAGCTGAGCCCAGGCGTAGGCTGCTGCACTAGCCTATGGTTTTATAAAGGGCTTGATGATGCTCTGTCTTTCACAAACTGCTTACAGGCGGGTGTTTGCCTTTCAAAAAGGCACCACAGATCTGGGGGGGTGCTGTGCAAAGACTGTGCCAGCTCCTTAAATGGTGGGCAAGGCTCTAGCCAGTTCATAACTGGCTCATTGAGGGCGATATGCAGACCCCAGTGGTTTTCTGCAATCTCTTTTATTATCGATTGTTCCTTAAACGAGCAGCCATTCCAGCTCTTTGTTAGGCCACAGAGAATCTGAACTTGTTGGTAAAGTCCTTATTTGCTTCTTTTCTTTCTATAGTGGGTACTTGTTTCTGCTACAGCTGTGTCCTTTTGAGTTACTCCATCTTACACCAAACGCTGTGCAGGACAAGTAAGATGCCTCTTATTTCACTCTGTCTCAGGGTATGCCTTTTTCTGCCATGTCTTTGCCTGTTTCCCACACAGCCTCGGGTTGATTGTTCACTGTACTGTGAGTGTGCTACTGTGAGCGAGCATGGCTGACAGTTAGCTTATCTATCAAAAGCAATGAGGATGCGGTGGTCAGGACGTCAGGGTTGGCTGTATAAACCCGTTCTAGATGCTGCCTTGAATTTTGATTTGGACGTGAGGCTTATATTTCTGTTCTTTTCTGCCCTTCAGCAGTGCTATGCACAGTAGCCCCTGGACTGTGAACTGTTCCGTGTGAGGCAACTGCCTGCTCCAAATAAAAAATATTTAGTAATAATAATTAAAAAAAAAAAAGGGGGGAAGCGGTGTCACCAGAATCCTTGCTGTATGCTGAGCACTGACTTGTGACCTCTTGGGGAATTTAAAATTCCCCCCCACTGGTTTCCAGTTTTGTGTCTCAGCTAAAATGTGACGTGGATGATTACCGCACCTCCTTCACACTTTTTGTCTGAGATGTGTCTGTGATGGTTTCACATAGTGTAATTGTGCCCCAAAACACGTGTTAGATTTTTCAGAGGGGTGAATTGATTCCTGTTCCTGGGAACTGATTTACCAGCTTGCAGATACTACCAAGCACCCTACTCAGTGCATCTGCCTAGTCTGAATGACCTGTTGCTCATAGGTATTTTCTTAACATAGAGACTGACCAACTCGGAAATGCATTAGCTTTTCTCCTGAGCACTTAAAGCTGAGCTCTGCCTGTTCTTTGTATGCTTTTATGATGCTTCAGTGTTGACAAAAGATGTCTGGAAAAACAAGGCATATTTCTAGCCGTATATGCTGATAATGCAGCGAAGTGTGCCTTCGTAGTGGGAGTGGTAAGGGGATGAGCTTCACTGCAAGGAACACTATGGAAGCTTCTGGCAGGAGTGCCAAGGTTCCAACTTTCCAGGACAGGCTTATTTTTCTTAGAGCTCAATGATGCCACTTTGTGAGTACAAAGAAACCTTGAGTTTATTATAGCTTCTGCTGCTTTTGCAGCCTCTGTTCATGCAAAGTGATCCATTACAATCTGAATCACTCTGCTGAAGAGGATTCAGATGCGATGTGAGCTAGAAATGCAGAGCTGCTGTTAATCCTGTGTGTGTTGCTGAGTAGGTGCAAATTACTGGCTGTCTTCATTTTTGGACCTAAATCAAAGCTTAAAAAGTGTAAGAAACCTGAAGGGTTGGGGAAGAGAAGTACTGGAAAGAAGAATTGATAAAGGGAGATAACCTGCTGGGGGAGCTGGAAATATTGCCAAGTTTTGGTGCCTGTTTATCACCAAACAAAAGATAGGCTGAAGAGTTATATCCTACCAGTAGGGAAGGGTAGTGGTGAGGGAGAAGCTCTTTGGTATGGTGTTGTGGCTGCTTCTTCAAGACCTGTGGAACGACAGAGCTGTCCTTACCTGCCAACTGTGCTAAGAAGGCTGACTGGTGTTACAAATACAGATACTGGTCCGTAGACCACGGATATCCCAAATCATTGGTGTGCACAAGAGTTGTTTTCCTCCGTCTGCATGGGGAGCAGTGGGAGTATGTTGTGGGACCTGGTTTGCTTGTCAGAGAAAGCAGATGAACACATGCCTGTTTACAAATCGAAACAGTGCCCTTGCAAATTCTAAATCTCTGTCTCAGTGCTCCTTTTCCTGCTGGCAGCATGCAGAAAAGTTCCACGCGTGGCTGGTCTCAGTTTGGTTTTCTGTTACTGGTTCTTATTGAGAATCTTGTCTTATCTCTTGCCTTGACCTGTTCTCCATCTCCCTTTGAGAATTGGGACCTGGCTCCCGGTCGTTACTTCAAATAGTTCTGATTCCTTATGCTCTGTTCTTTTTTATTTCTATCCTGTTTGCTACCTATAGCCTATTAAGGCTGACTGATGTAATCTCTGCGTCCTTCTCCCTGAATTTGTGCTGGAAATTCTCGATTAAATTATACCAGGTATGCTTGCTGTAACCTTCCTTCCTGATTAAATGGCAATTCAGTAGTTCCCAAGTCATTTGCTGAATTTTTTTTTTTTTTTTATGGATATTCTCTTAGGATCTCACTTCTCCATCCACAGCTCTTTGTATTTTCAATGAGCTGTTAAGCATGTACTGGTAAAGATTTCCCCCTGTTCATTCCTGTTTCTTTGGAATGCAAGGACAGATTGTATCTGCATAGAAAACTTTGGAAACTTAATCCAGTGTATGTGAGTGTATTTACAAATACAAGTGTTTTGTTGTGTTTTTATTGGAACAGACTTGATGATGAGGAAAGAAATTAGACTGATTTTCTTCTTTTCTGTCC